AATTTCTTCCCAGAAACTATCACACATGATTATGATTAAGTATTTTTTTTTGATTAATTTCACATTGTTTTTAAATAGATTATATTGTTCTTTATTTAAGTTAATTGCTTTATAATTCGGTACCTTATATGGATTATGAGAATATGTTTTCTCATTTCTAACAATTGTTTAGATTTTTTAGTTTTCTGGATTTTTTTATAGGTCTTTAGTGATTTTTTAAAGATTTATACTTGTAGTTTTTCTTTAAACATTAGGTGCCTTTTCTTTTATATTCATTTAAATTCTCAAATTCATCCAGGTCGTTACATTTTAAAGAAATTTCTGAGCTGAATATCTTATTAGACTTATTAAAATCTGAATTCTCTACTTTACTGGTATCCTCAAACTCAAATAATTCAGATATTTCATTATTCCTTAAAATATGTCCTTCTTTTTTGGTCAGATGTAGACTTGCCTTGCTATTTTGCTTATCATCATTTAGCGTGGCTAAATAGAGTTGGTTATCCTTGTAATTTAGCTGTTTTTGGTTTGTTATAGGTTGATACTATAATAATATAATTTCTTCAGATAGCCTAATTGTTATCACCAATTGTCGTTTAGTTTTGTTTAATACTAAAATATATTTGAGATATGATCTTAATATATTAATTTTGATGTTTGTAAAGAAGTGCTAGTTAATTTTTATATTAATGATTGCCTTTTTAATTATAGTAACATTGTTTGTTGCAGATTAAAATGAAATCTGATCAAAATGAAACTAGTGACCTCTCATATTCACCCTTAGAGTCTATAAAACCCACATATACTCATTTATTAATAAACCTAATACTCAACCCTACCTCTAATACTAAAAAGAACCCCAAAAAATATCCTTTAAAAAATTTTAAATTTTTCTTAAAAAACAGAAAAATTTTATTTAATCAAATTTCATTTTAATCTATGACATTGTTTGATCCTACTGCTTCTGCAGTTGATTTTTGAGGATAAAATCTAAAATATTGTTTGTTTCCTTTAAGAATTCTAAGTGGGTTTTTCTTATTATTGTGCAGGTTAATCTTTTATCAAGTTTGAATTCTATAAATATATTATATACTTTTGCAAAAAAGTAAAATCCTTTTACTTCTTTAGGGTCTAATTCAGTTTCAATAGTTTTTTTGGGCCAATATAAAGTATTTGTAGCAGAGTAATCATTTATTTTAGTTAAAGATTTAGATACTTCTTTATTAATATAATATATTTCATTATTACATAAATTTGCATTATCAAGGGTGTAGCGACTTAGTAAAGTTAGTAAGTTGTTACACCTCCAAGCAGCATGACAAGAGTTCGAATCCCACTGGTGATGAAATTCGAATTTTACAGAATGTGTTACAGCAGACTGTATGTAATCTGATAGATCATCAGATCTGTAGCTTTGGTTGTACCAGCTTGTACTAAAAGAATGTGAAACTATAGTGTGATGTATGAGTTATACAAAACCTAAGAGAAGTGTTTATGTAAACCCAAAGGCTGAGACACACAGAATCTTGCTTGGCAAGTTTCAAGTAGAGAGGTAGCATAGATCTTCAATAGCACTATGTAAAGGATTATCAACCGAAGAACCGGAAACTGGACGGGACTGAGGTGTTTGGCAAGGCACCATACCAACCAGGCCACTAATGAAAATCGGAGAAAGGGGTTCACCTTTCAGGCTATCTGAATTGAGAGTTTAAGGACCAGTAAAACAGTAGACAGTCTGTAAAGTAGGTGCTGGTATTTGGGTGAACTCTACAAGGGCAGGAAAAGATAATAGTAGCGGCTTTAGCTCACAAGTACTTATTCTTGGACTTGGCATAAGTTACCAAAAGTCTAGATTAGTCAGATTGTAGATACAAAAAGCTCTAGCAACAATGTCTCGAGGATAAATTAGTCTTAAGGCTATAGTATGCATCCAGAACTCTTGACTGACAAATATAACAGAGATGTTTCAGTGATACAAAGAGGTATTGTACATTACAAAGAGTTTAAATAGATAATCCCCTAGTTGGATTATAGGTATGGCAGCTAATATAGAACCTATAGTATTCAGTTATCTATATGCAGACTACTTAAATAGGTGCTCAAAAGGCTAGTTGTATTCTCTAATATAATTGTAGTTCTGTTGTAAGCTCTCCACCTATTATACTTAAATAAAAAATCACTATACCAAAAAGGCTAATTAAAAAAATAAAATAAAATAAAATAAAAATAAATTTGCATTATTTTCATTTGAAGTATTATAATTTAACTCTGTAATACAGTCTGTTGGTTATATTGGGAGTGGGTCCTGAGTATTACGCAGGCTCTTTTCTAGAAATACTAATCTTGTAAGATAATCTTTTCGAATTCTTCTTCCAGTTCTTCATTAAAAGTAGATTTGTTTTCTTCTAAGTGAAATAATTCTTAGTATAAATTACATAATTGTATATATTGTTTATAATCTAAATCTTTTTCTAGATTATAAATTTCTTTGTTTCCAAATTTTTTATGAAGTTTTTCAAGTAGTTTGAGTTCTTAAGTTCGCTTGTGAATCTTATCTTGGTAATTAGTTTGTTGTCTTTCAGGTTGGTATTTTTTTGGATTAAACTGTTTAAGAATCAGTTTATATCCTACATTGTTTAGGTTACTAAACTTGATAGGTTCTTTCGATTCTTAGTATAAAGGTTTGCTTTTATAATTTCTTCAAGTATATTCATGTTTAGGTTTAAAAGGTTGTTGCAAATTTTCTTCTTTTTTAATATAGAGCTTTTCTTCTTTCTTGATAAATGATTTTGAAAATTCAGCTTTAGATTTTTTAGGGTTGTCACTTTTGTTATATAGAGATTATCCACCTTTTATTTTAAGTATTTTGATGTTATCTCTTAGTTTATTAATTATCTGCTAGTAGTCTGTTTCTGTTATTAATACTTTTCTTTACTTTGGTTGTTATATCTTTTGTCATTTTTATTTTTGTAATTTTTGTCTTGGTACAAATATTTGGCAAATCATTTTGGGTTAGGACAGTTTTTTGCAAAGTATTCTTTTTGTTTATTTTTAAAGCAAAATATTTTTCTAAGTCTATTACTGCTAAGTTTTGTTTTGCTAAAAAGAGTGCTTTTTTACTTCCAGGTTTGCTATATTTACTTTGAAAGTATTTTTCTACATCACTATTGTAGTATGCACTGTAGATTTGTTCAAGTGCTTCAAATGCTGTTTAAATAATGTTAGTGCTTCTGTGAATTGTAGCTGGAAAAAGTAGTTTTCTCCTTGATAAGGCGACACAAATTAATATAATTGATTTTCATATCCTGGCCGGGTCAGTGAAACGGGATCTGAAATTTTTTTTTTTTAATATAATTAACCAATAGGATTTATTAATTTAGATCA